AGGAAAGCTTGTTCAGGGCTGCACTGACCGGTCATTTGCAAATGAGCTCGGGAAAACTCAGTCCTTTGAGAAGCCCTCATAATCCCCCAGAGCCAGCTCAGGTATTAGACAGTTTGTCTGGGCCAAAACAGTCATATCATCACACATCTCTCCAATGGGGATACTGAGGGGAAAATTAAGTTAATCCGGTAGCCTCTAAACATCTCTCATTTAGAAGAAGACCGGCTTCTCACTTGCTTGGTTGTTTTCGTTTTTGTTTTGTTTTTTCCTGGAGATGACATTTCTTGATGTAGCTTATGATAACAATTGCCTGAGTCACTTTTCAGAGTCTTGAAGGCCAGTTTGGCTAAAACGTTGACTCTTCCCTTGGGGCTGTTGATGTCTACTGAGTAACGGAGAAAGGTGAAGAGGCGTGGCATCTGTCTTTATGATGTCTATCTCCTCTGCTGCCTTAATCTTTAGGACAGATTCTATATATAAATATATTGATCACTGGAGAAACTTGTGTCTAGAAATACAACGCATGGTTATTTAACTCGGCTTACACTTGCCTAGTCTCTTTTTCCTCCCACCAAAGCTAAAGACATCTACCAGACCGTGTGACTGGAACCACCAGACCATGAAAAATGTAAAAAGCAGTGTCAGGGAAGGTTCTGGAAGGTCTACCTCATTCCAGAAAGATGAGAATATGCCTCCCTTATAACCCCATTTCCATCCATCATTCCTCCTGTCCCATATCTGAAACCCCACTCTCCTGGGGTTAAGAAGCTGTTTGTAAGCATAGTCTCCCCTCTTTTTCATTATGTGGCCACTGAATAAAGACTTCCTTCCTCTCCACTATTCAGATGTCAGTTCTTCTACGGGATGAAGGCCCAGATCCGGGTCCAGGAACAGATAATCTAATAACTAACCTCCAAACATCCTCTCTGCCCTATTTCTGCCCACCAGGACCCACTCCTCATGACTAGAGTTAAATTTACTAGTGTATAAATGAAGAATCTTCTCAGAACATATAATGTAATAAATATGAGATGTATTTAGACAGTTTTTAAGGTAAACAGAGTAAGATATGAGATTATAGCTTGGCCTAAAAAGACATGTTTTAATTAAATTCACATAATAATCACAGAGATATTACACTTGAAGATGCTGTAGACAGAATACACCCCTCAAAAGCCACATGTTAAATTCTAACCCCCAGAGTGACATCACTGGGAGGTGGGGCTTTAGAATGAGCTTATGGCATGAAGGCAGAGTTCCCATAAATGGAGTTAGAGCCCTTGTTTTTTAATATTTTATTAGTAGTGTTAGTGTTATCATTATTAACTAATGTGTATGGGAGTTTGCACATGTGAGTGCAGTACTTATCGAGGACAAAAGAGGGAGCCAGATACCCTGGAGCTGAGTTGCCCAGCATGGGTGCCGGGAACTAAACTTGGGTCCTCTGGAAGATCCATCCATATGCACTCAACTGCTGAGCCATTTCTCCATTCCCCCACAACCCCAGTGCCCTTATTTTTTTTAAAGGCTTCAAGAAAAATCTTGCCTTTCTGCTATGCACTCAAATGCAACGAGACAAGTAACTAACGTAACAGAAGCAGAGACCCGGTTCTGAGAGGTGGAGTGCTAATGCCTAAAAATGCCTAAAAATGGCATTTGGTAATTGTAGGGACATGTATGGTGTGTTCCAGAAAGGTCACCATTACTATGAACAGACCTTTAAAGACATCTGTGTGAAGGCTTAGAAAGAGAAGATCAGGGAAAGCCTCACTCTTCTGAAAGTATGCTGAACTGAATGTTGGCTTTAAAAAAAAAAGACCAATAATAGATGTCTCTGTCGACACCTCTGCTGAGACGTCAGTCGGAAATGGGAAACACATGATTGCAAACACGCGACTGCAAACTGGAGAAAAGGCCTTGTCATAAAGTGACAGAGAACTTGGTCACACTGTGTTCACGTCTTCATGGGCTGTGGGAAGATAGAGTTTGTCAGAGAAGAAGGTGGCTGAGGAAATCCCAGAGGAAGTGCTGAATGAGTGGCCTGGTCTGTGGTTTTGTTTGTTTCTGTTACTGTTTTCTGAGTATTTATAGTAAAATTCCAGAAGAAAGAAATGGCTTCAGTCAGAACGGTTCATCAAAGAAGAAACCAACTGAAAGTTTGGAAACCCCTCAGACTGTTTGTATTGAAAGAATGAGAAGACCTGGGGCAGGGAGAAAGCACCAGGTGTATGTATGATCAGGGAGCTAGGAAACACGTTAGTCAACCCTCACATATGGTCCAAGGCCCCCCAAAGACAACTTAGAACTCATCATAGTAGCTCCTCCCATCAGATGCCTAGAGGACAGAGGGCAAGGCTTCAAGGGGTCATCAGCAAGTTGGGGAACTCACACTGTGGCCCCGACTTCATTCCTGCACTCTGATGACTTATTCTTCAGCTGCCAAAATGAAGCTCTTTGGGTCCCAGAGTAGCATACGCCACACCCAACAAAGCTGTGGGTGTATGGATACTACCACTTAGAGTTCGGATACCCTGAAAAGTCAAAGGCACTGAACCCCAGAAAGTGGGGGTGGAGCTAAGATAGACACAGGGACAATCACCTTAGGAAGCCCCCCTAAGATAATTTCCAAGGGACTGCTGGAAGCCAGGCTGCCTAAAGCTATGGTGGCAGGACCATCAGACGCCCTGGGGCCAAACCCTTATACAGCAAAGCAACAGAGGAGACAGGACCGTCTAGAAAGAAGGGCATCAAGTCGAAGAAGATTATTTACAAGGCTGAGGTTTGATATTGAGTTTCAAACACACCCCTTCTCCCTTTGGGGTGGGAAAGTCTACTCTTTGGCTGGCCCACTACTGCATTTTACTGTTTGTCTGCCTGTGTTTAGGAATCTAACCCTCAGCTGCCCCCATGCTAAGCAAGAATTCTACCACTGAGCTGCAGCCCCAGCCCTCACAGTTACGTTTTGGAAACACATGACACATTTGTTTTCATACACTCACAGCCAAAGAGCACATCATCCTAGGATAAATCACGCCTCAAGTCTGACAGTTACAGATGTGGATGGTGTTTACATGAGCTGCTGGGCCTCAGAGTTTTGAGCTGATAATGGAATGAATTAACACTTGTAGGGTTGTCAAGATAGAATTGGTATATTCAGGTGTGAAAATGATGTGAAATTAGGGAGAGGGGATAGAATGCTGTGAAATCAAATATCTGTGTTCCCAGAAATCCATGTTAGATCCTGGGCCCAGCATGGTAATTTTAGGAGGCACGGTCTTCAGGAGACATTGAGGTCCTGAGGATAGCATCCTCACGAATATGACCAGGGTCTTTGTAACGAAGCACCAGAGAACCAGAGAACCGCTCCTCCTTCCTCCGGGAGAGGAAACAGCACGAGCGTGGCCATCCTTGCATCTGGGAGTAAGCCTTTGCCAGAGAGTGAATCTGCTAGGACCATGAGCTTAGACTTCCTGGCTTCCAGAACTTTCAGTTTTTGTTGTCTTAAGCCTTCTTATGGTAGCCCAAGAGGACTAAAACAGAGAAGAAAAGTCAGCACCTGCCTTTGGGAGGCTGAAGATGGAGAACTGATTTACCCAAGAGGTCAGCCTAGGCAATATAGCAAGCCTCTATCTCAACAACAAGATAGCAAAAGTACACACACGGGATGACTCTACAACTCAGATGTATTAGAGAATATGAACAAAATACAGTGCATAAAATTCTCAATAAATTAATAAAATATTATGTTTATTTTTTTAAGTAAAATAAGAAATTCAATTATTATGCTACTTATAGACTAAAAACAATGTTATAAAATTTCTCATTCCCCAAACATTACATGAAAATAAAAAACAGAGTTCATACTTAACAGTGTATGAACAGGCAGAACTTCAACAGTGAGCTGCCTTTTGGGTCAGTTCTTCCAATTAAATCGGCAGTTACCCTGACACACACAACCAAACAGGGTACAACGTGGCAAACCCATTGAACACCACAAGCGCTCTAATACACAAAGGCAAAAGTGGGCTGTCATTTGACAGCAACTCAACGCAATTACAGTTTTTCAGATAACACTAAGTGATAAGCCATCATGAAAAACTGTTTTCTCTCACACATAGAGAAAACCAAAATTTTTCTAACCTTTTAAATCACACATTCCATTTCACCAATTTATCCTGTGAAAAACCTGAAACTTGGTTAAAAAAAAAAAAGATTTACGCTCAGAAATGTTTCTGTGGCATTAGCAAAGCAAATTTACCCAAATTATCAATTTAGTAATCATTAGTGGTTAAAGAGCAGTAAATATGCATATATGCATGTGAGCTGATCAATACATGTAATATACAGTGTGTGTGTGTGTGTGTGTGTGTGTGTGTGTGCGCGTTTGTGTGTAAGACAAGATCTCACTCTACAGCCCAGGCTAGTCTAAACTAATGATAATCCTCTTGCTTCATCTTCCCAAGTGCTAAGAATATAGACATGAGCCATGACACCAGCCTTTCTCTCTCTCTCTCTCTCTCTCCAAATATATATGTGTGTGTGTGTGTGTGTGTGTGTGTGTGTGTGTGTGTGTGTGTGTTTGAGACAGGGTTTCACTATGTTGTGTAACCCTAGCTATCCTGAATCTCACTGTAGACCAGGCTGGCCTCAAACTCACAGAGATCCTTCTGCCTCTGCCTCTGCCTCTGCCTCCTGAGGGCTGGGATTAAAGACTTGCGCCGCTACCACCACCACAAACTAACTCTATATTTTTAATTAAACTTTTTTTTCTCTAAAGTCATCAATTTCCAGGCATCTAAAGCTTCATCCTCAAACATCCTAGCAAACCAAACCACTACTACTAGCAATCGATACATTTATTTAAACTCAGAAATCTGTCTTTAACGCATCAATTGTCTCTTCTGCCTAGAAAAGCTCCCACATGAAAGAATCTATTTTGTCTGCGAGATGTCTCCTCATGATAGCTGTGGAGCTGCTCAAGCGGCCGGCTTTCTGCTTACCTGGATTAGATGTGTACTGCATTGCAATCATTAGCATGGCAGACGCAGAGAGGTTCACATGAGCTGGGACGCCTTCTTTCCTGGAGGAGCCCACTGAAACCAAAATTGTCTGATTAGATACAAATTAATTTCTAGATATGAGTACATACTTGCTGCCTTACTTAGAACCACGAAAGAGCTTCATGAGAGAGTTCCAAGAAAGGGGCACGGCACTGCTGACTTTCTTTCCTCCTTTATTAAGATGGTATCCCATGTACCCCAGACTAGCCTTAAACTTTCTATGCAGCCATAGAATTCCTTGAATTCCTGATCCTCCTGCCTCTACCTCTCAGAGCTGGTACAGGCATGCACCCGGTTTATGGAATGCTGGTGATCAAACCCAGGGCTTTGTGCTTGTAAGGGAAACACTCTGCAAACTGAGCCACATTCGAGCCCCAGAGCTGATAGAAATTCACAGAGACAAAACCCCAGAACTGCTCCGTGCATACAAACGCTACCATAGTGTGCCACTGTAAAAACATTTAGAGCACAGCCATGTGGAAAAGGTATAAAACCAGAATACAATGGCTTTGTCAGAGTTGCACTTAGGTGTGATCTCTATTCCCAAGATGTTCAGATCTATAAAAGAAAGGAAGAAAGGAGAACCACATGTGGGCCCAGGGCATATAAACATGTTAACGGTTAGCATAAGAAAGCAGATTTTCAGACCAACTAGAATATATTAGCACTTAGAGAAGCAAGCAAACCAGCTTCACAAAATGTATAGCTTCTTGTTTAGTTTTAAATACAAATCTTAAATCACATATTATGAAAATGATCACGTTGGTTTTTTAAAGGTTTTTGGCATTCATTTGTCCCTACACAACTGTATCCAAACCTTCCCATAGAACCCCATCAATATCTTTGTTACCATGAGAAATCACTTGCAGTTTCCCACAGTCTACCCTCCTCATGTCGGTCTGAGTTGTTTGGAGCAAAGCACTTTTTTGAATCTATGAATAGCTATGAACAACGTTTATCCTATGCCAATAAATGTCCAATTGCAAAGCAAGCAGGTGTCTTCAAAAATCACCTAATTGCTGTATAATCCTGATATCCACTTATACACTGATTTAAACTCATCTTTAAGTGTCTTGTTTATGATGACATTAAACTCTGTATTAAAATTGTCTCTATTTCATAGAAAATGCTAGGTAGCCCTATAAGTATTCAAAACTAGCTCTGATGAAAGTTATCTGGCATAACATATTTTCAGTCAAAGGGTATTTTTATCCCATAAATAACTGAGAGAGACCCCCACAAAAAAAAAGACTTTTCTTAAGATTAAAATATAAAATGAATTCCTTCTTCCACAGAGATAACAGGAGAAGTAGAAGAAAACGCTTATACATACACTCATATACCAAGCTGCCAAACGGGAAAAACAGCACACAGAAGGGAAAGACTCACCAAGTCAACACTGTTTCTACACACTAAAGACCACTGATGCAAACAGTCAGCCCAAAGCAGATAACCTCAAACTCAGCTTTATTTTACATTAGAGTAAAGTGTATGGGGAGCAGATCTCATTTACATCTAAAAAGAACAAGCCAATGCAACAAGACACTCAGTAAACAGAAGCATTAAAGCACTAGTAAGGAGTTGCCATGCAATAACGAAGACAATGAAAGTTTAATAGGATTCTATTTTGTTTCCACAGTAAGAACTTCCGATGCTGTAAAGGACAGCGGTCTCTGCTACAGGTTGAGAGATGCCAGCCAACAGAACAGGTCCCTAACTGAGTTCTACTAGTCTGAGTCTGAGTTTATTAAGCACCTATGTCTGCATGTGTCTAATTCACAGGGCAGATGGTATTCAGGCATAGGTCTGACTGATTCTCCACTATAAACAAAAGCTGATGGGTAGACCAGGATGGATACAGAGAGCGGTACACTGCTCCGAGGGGTGAGGATGACTAATCAAATGGGATAAACTGAAGAGGAAAGAGCTCTGAATCAGCTGCTGAAGAGCAGGGCACATGGTTTACCACCTAGAGATCCTAGCTCAGCCAGAGTGGGAGATCGGAAACGCTCTGTTAAATTAATAAACCCATCAGTGGCTCTCATGCAAGCTGGCTTTGGATCTGCCTTGGAAAGGCACTATTAGAGAGATGAGGGGTAAGCAAGGGGATGCCCAGACCAATACCCACAACTGGAGAGAGTGAGCACATAGACGATACTCCTGTGCCTTTTGTTGAAGAAGAAAAGAAAGGAATGCCTCCTCCAACATACTCAACAACAGAAGAGTCTCCCTCCCTCTCCTCTCTCTCTCTCTCTCTCTCTCTCTCTCTCTCTCTCTCTCTTTCTCCTTTCTCCTCTCTCCCCCTCTCTTGTCACATGTATGCATATATATTCTTTTGGTGACAAGTGGTTTCACCTTTATTTAAATTCAACTCAAACTTTTTAATAATAAGCATTTTTCAACAATGAAAACTGTTAGAGAGGTTGGGAGCCACTGTGCCCAGCGGCCTCTAAAAATGGGAGAGATGCCCAACTGTCTCAGATGATTTACGTGAAGTCTGTTTGGAGAACTGCCCAGATGGCTCAGCGACCTTTGGATGTCCCTGTTACCTCTGCAAATCTATGCTGTCCCTCAAGTATGGCCATCCATAAAGCCAAAAGAGTTCCCCCAGGACACGAGCCCCAGGAAATTGGCTCCAATACTTATATAAACAGACGGTATCTTGCAATTTCAAAGCCTTCTACAAGACCAAATAAAATCACCATGGCTCTAATTTAATAAGCATGCACAAGCACACATCATTGACTGAATCTTGTTTAAAAGGCATGATGTAAACAGATACGCAGCTCGATCCCATGAGGCACAAAAAAAAAAAAAAAAGCACCTACAACTAAATGGAAAAGACTACTGTGCTCAGGGAATATAATGAAAAGTTTCCAGGTCTTTCGCCTATTCCTCCAATAGCACCAGAACAAAACCTGCCATGGTGCCTTCCTCCAACAAACAGTACTAGTCCCTTAGCATGTGTCTGCGTTTGATAATCGCCAATGGGCTAGGTGCGCAGTTCTCACACGGTTCTTACCTCTAAAAGTAAGCAGATGACAAAAGTCATTCTGGAAGTGGGAGATGAGCTAGTGACAGGAATGCACTAGCCTAATTACTAAAACAATGACAGTCTGGGACGAGTACAGTCATCGCTAATGTTCCAATCACTCACTCATACACTGCTTTTTTTTCATAGAACTGCACCAGGCATCATTCTCGGCCATTGGTTACAGCGGTAAAGGAGGCTGTGGCCAGAGTTGGGTTAGGTACTGTATAGTTGGAGTTGGCTATGTATATTAGTTAAGATTTAAGAAAAATTTAAAATTACATTCTTCAGCCTCACTAGACACATCATATGTGCTTAGTAACCCTATGTGGTAATGGCTACAGTATGAGGCAGCATAGGATTTTATTTCCACATCCATTGTCAGAGAAAGTACTGTGGACAGTGTTGTTCGTCAGAAAAGGACACACATTGGCCATGAAGAAGCATGAATCTGGGCAAGGGAACAGAGAGAAGATGGTGGAAGGTTCTGAATTACATTAGAAAGGAAGGCATCTCAAAATATGTGGTCCTTAAGAGTGTCCAGGTTCTGGCTATTACAAATAGTGCTGCTATGAACATAGTTGAACAAATGCTTTTGTAGTATATTAGGGAATCTCTAGGGTATATTCCCAAGAGTGGAATTGCTGGGTCCTGAGGGAGGTTGACTCCCAGTTTCCTGAGAAACCGCCACACTGATTTCCACAGTGGCTGCACAAGTTTGCATTCCCACCAACAATGGATGAGAGTTCCCCTCTCTCCACATCCTCTCCAGCATAGGCTATCGTTGGTGTTTTTGACTTTAGCTATTCTGACAGGTGAAAGATGGTATCTCAAAGTGGTTTTGATTTCCATTTCCCTGATCGCTAAGGAGGTTGAGCACGACCTTAGGTGTCTTCTGGCCATTCTAGGTGCCCCTCAATAGAAGAATGGTTTAAAAAGGTGTGGAACATATACACATTAGAGTTTTACTCAGCGGTAAAAAACAATGACATCTTGAATTTTGCATGCAAATGGATGGAAATAGAAAACGCTTTACTGAGTGAGGTAAGCCAGACCCAAAAAGAAGAACACGGTATGTATTCACTCATAAGTGGATTCTAACCATAATTAAAGGTCTTTGAGCCTATTATTCGTGATCCTAGAGAAGCTAAATAAGAAGATGAACCTGATGAAGATTATTTAGCTATCCGCCAGGAGGTAGGAAATAGTCAAGAGTCCCAGGTAACCTCGGGTGCATGGGAGGGGTGGGTGGGAGGGTTGTTGGAAGGGGAGAGGGTTAGAGAGAAGGGATTAGGGGAGGATTGGGGAAAGCTCGGTTGACCGGGACGGGGGGGGTGGTGGAGGAAGGTTGAATATGGGATCAGGGAAGAATATATTTCAACTAAGGGAGTCATTTTAGGGTATACAGGAAACTTGATTATATATGGGATCCCAGGTCCAAGGAGAGATCCCCAGATTGTTCTCTGGACAGAGGAGAGGGTGCCTGAACCGGCCTTGGCCCATAACCATACTGATGAATATTTTGCTTATCACCATAGATCCTTCATCTGGCGATGGATGGCAATACAGACAGAGACCCACATTAGAGCACCGGACTGAGCCCCCCAAGGTCCAAATGAGGAGCAGAAGGACGAAGAAAATGAAAAAGGAAATAAGGACTGCGAGGGATGCTATCACCCACTGATACAAGGGGACGGATCTAATGAGAGTTTACCAAGGCCAGTTGGACTGCGACTGAATGAGGAAGTGATCTAACCAGATTCTCTGAATGTGGCCAGATTCTCTGAATGTGGCTGGCCCGGAGTCTTTCTGAAAAGCCATTGACAATGACACTGGGACTTGTTTCCTCTGCATATACTGGATTTTTGGGATCCAGTCTGTTTGGATACTCACCTTCCTGGACCTGGAGGGAGGGGGGAGGAACTTGAACTTCCCACAGGGCAGGAAACCCTGACTGCCCTTAGGGACGAAGAGGGAGGAGGAGAGGGAGTGGGGGGAGTGG